TACTAGAGTGCATCCTATATTTTCCTAGAGAGAAGATATATTACTTCCCTTAAAGGTTCTCTCTTATAATAAGAAAGTATAATGTCTATCTTTAGAGAAATGTTTAAAATGTATCTTTTTTATTTACATGTTTTACTTTTTGATTTTTAAAGAAGCCTGGGCTCCGGAGAAAGCAGCAATCTCTATCAGCAGATAAGGAGGCAAGACTAGGGCCTGGAAAGGCTTACAAAGACTCCAATCACAAATTAGTTCCTTAAAAGCCTTTCTAGTAGCAGGGACTCAGGAGAGATGCAGTTAAAAAGGGGGGGGGCATTTTCTATCTACTAGGTTGGCATAAATTTCAGAGTAACAGAAGCCACTTAAGGCAAGGATACTACAAAACTTGTATGCATGGTTATCTTCTAAATTGTACAAACTTTCCTGGAGGGCTGGGTCATTTAGAAACAGATATAAAAAACATTTTTGACTCAAAAAACCCAATAACATCTGTTTTCAGGACAGATTTCTCACTCAAAAAAAGTGCAATAAGATGCATGCCTACAGGTTCACTATGGTGTTTAATAGTGAAAAGTTACCATCTAAATGCCATTGGCAGGAGACTGATTAAGTAGATTATAATATACAACAGTACTGTGTATTCACTAAAAGTGATGTGGGGATTTATATAGTCTGCTATGCAAAGGTTAGTGAAAAAAGATTCCAGAGTAGCATGTACAGTAAAACACCATTTCTATACAATTATATGAATATGCCTATATAAGATAGCCCAAAAAGATGTTGTACTGTAATTATAATTACAACTTAGTGGGATTTCTGCTTCCTTTTTTGACTTTTCTACACCAACCTTTTTAAAAAATAAAAACAATGAATACATATTTTTACCGAAAAAAATCCTACAAAACACACACACAAAAAGCTGTCTTTTTTCTTTTTTTAAAGACAGGTCTTGAATTTTTTTTTTTTTTAATGAATATCAACATATGTAAACCAGGCAAACACCTCTTATCCCAAGGTAAAAGAGCAAAAAATCAAACAAATAAAAAACTCCATTTACAAATTAATTTTAAAATTTAAATCTCTTGACGATTTAAAGTATTTCAAAATAACTAAGAACATTTTCATTCATGGTTTTTATTACAATTGAAGTTTTATCGTCCATGAGGACAACAGCTATAAACTATCTGTAAATTCTACTCTACCAGGTATCAAGAACATACTCTGTAGAGGTCAGAGGGAAGGTTAGCAGTGGTGATTCTACCAGTCCTTCAGGATAACACCTTCCTCACAGACAGACATAGAACACAGGTCCACAGTCACAGCTCACACTCCCCTCTATAAAGTTCTAATCGTATCAACCAGGAATTATTTAGACATCTAACATTTCTCCTTCTAAGGGGAGAAAAAAAGACAAAGTGTCCAGCCATATACAAGCTAAAACTCTTCAGAATCCTTCAAATATCAGTATCTACTATAAAGAATTATAGGTAAGAAAGTTAAAGTCATTGCTCTTGAATAACATGGAAATAACTGTAAATGGCAAGGTTTCTTCTTTTTCTTCCAAAACAGTACTAGAGTTCCTTGGAGCATTTATCTCAACTGTGCTCGACCCTGAAACTATCTGCCCTGATACAACCTGATCATATTGCCCCAGTGCGCACTCATCTGGCCTGAATGGTCAGTCTCCCAGGATCAAGTGCACAGGTGATTTACAGGGCCATGAACCCACAGGAAATGTTCACCTTTTTTCCACAATTAAGTTACTGTGGTAACATTAATGCTATATCAATCATAATCAAATGATAAAATACCACAATTCAAAGTAATTGATGAGCACAAACTGCATGATCAAGCCATGCTTTCTGGCCCAAAGGCTGCTTAGGGCAGCAGGGAGGACACTGAACCAGGACTGATTTCTACCCATCTTCAATGCTGGGCAAACTTATCTGCTTTGGTCTACTAACAAGATAGCTTCACTACCTCTTCTTCTTTGGAACCTCTGATTAAATGATATGCCACTGTGCAAAGCACAAATGTATGTTTATACTTAATGTATTATATGTGTCCTATGTGAAATGAAATTCCATAATTATGAATAAACAAAGAGTAAAATCAAAACATTTTTAAGAAACTATAGTTTCATTTTAAGTATTTGAAACATGTTCCCTTCTAGGCCAGCAGATGTAGCTGTGACTTCAAATAGGAAATGAGCAAGTTTGTCGGGCTGCTCTAGGTTAGCCATTAGGGGGCGCCCTTTTTGAGGAACTGAACTTACACTAGAGATTTAATCCAATTCAAGCTAACTACTAACAATTATCTGACACTGGAGTTGAGTCTCATTTACCTGGATTTATCTAGAATGATCATCTCAACTCTTTATTTAGTACACAGATTGGGTTGTTTATGTTCAACATTTTTCTAAGACTTTTCCTTAGTCCTAGAAAGATGACATTTCTCAGTAAGAGGCAGTACATAGTGATAAAAGTATCACTGGACTCAGGGCAACCTCACTGTTATCAAAGGTCTCTAAATGCAGGACCTCTCCAAATGCAGAGCTGAAATATACCACATTGCTCTCAGTCAGCCTCAGAGCAGGGTGATGTAAGAAAATGCTTGGAAAGTCAACAGGTAAGGCTCAACCGTCTACCACAGAGCCCTGTGTTAGCACATGGCTGGCTCAGGGTAGGCCAACAAATGACTTCTAAATGGACAAACCAATAGATTAATAAATCACCTATAAATTCCACACAGTCTATGTAAAGTCCTAACAGACTGTCATTTTTATAGAAAATAGAAGCTTAATAACTTTATCACTCAGCACTCATGTGTCAGTTAGTAATCTAAGACTCAGACCTGGGTTCAAATGTTGACTGCCTTTTACAAGCTATGTGATCTTGGGCAAGTGCCTTAACCTCTTTGAGCTCCAATTTCTTCATTATTAACCAGGGATATTTATATTTGCTTATGAAGATTAAATGGTCTGTTATGTCTAAGATGTCGGGTACAATGCCTGAAATGGAAGAAGAGATTTTACACTGGTTCAAAACTAAACTGAGGCAAAAGCAAAAAATCATTAAAAAATCTTCAGTCACAGGTTTTCCCCAACTAACCCCTAATTTAGTATTACAATGACTAGCCAGCAAAGTTACTTTAAAAATCAGCACCATCATTTGTCTATCAGCATATTTTGCATGAAAAGTATAGCTGGGCTTGGTGGCTCAGCCTGTAATCCCACTCCTTTGGGAGGCTGAGGTGAGTGGATTGCCTGAGCCCGCGGGTTCGTGACCCGCCTGGGCAACTTGGTAAGACCTCATCTCTACAATAAATCAAAACAAAATTAGCCGGATGTGGTAGTGCATGCTGTAGTTCCAGCTACTTGGAAGGCTGAGGCGGAAGAATCGCCGGAGCCCAGCAGGTTGAGACTGCGGTGGCTGGAAGCAGCCACTGCACTCCAGTCTGGGTGACAGAGTGAGACTCCAACTCAAAAAAAAAACCAAAAAGAAAAGTTTAACAACACCTATGTGTAGTTACGATTAACCTCAATGTGAAAAGCTCGATAATACCTACGAGGTTACTCCAGCAATCCCCACCCCCAACTTGCCTCAGTTTCTCCCTCTCTATTGAATCATTTCTATCAGCATACACATGCTATTAATTCTCCCAACTAAAAAAAAAAAAAAAAAAACTCTCCTGACCCCTCTCCTCCTTCAGTTGTGACTCCTTTTGTTTGACTTTCCAGCAAAACTCAAGCCTTGCCTAGACATACTGTCTCCACTTCCCTCCTCTGTTCCCTTTTGAATTCACTTAGCTCAGGCTTTCCCCATCACTTTACGATGACTGCCATGTTGCTAAACTCAGCAAATTATCAGACCTCATCTTATGTAACTTATCACCAGCATGCAGCACAGTCAACTTCTCCTTGAAATATCTTCTTCACCTGGCGCCTAGGTCACCATTCTGGTTTTCTCTTCCTCTTTGGTAGGGAAATCTCCTTTGCTACTTTTGCTTCATTCCCCAACCTCTAAACCTGAGTGCCCAAGAGCTCCTTCTTCAGCCTCTTCTCTTTCTGCCTCATTGGCTTGCTGAGCTTATCTGGACTCATGGCTTTAAATATGCCCATATACTAATGAGTCTCAAATTGCTGTCTTCACCTGTACCCTCTGCCCTGCACTCCACAATTCCATATCTAACAGCCTACCTGCCCCTCCACCTGGCTGCCTAACAGATGTCTCAAACTCACAAGTCCCCGTTGAGCTCCTACATTATTCCCCATACCTGCTCCTCTCACACTAGTTCCATCCACTCTCCAGCTGTTCAGGTCAAAGTCGTGGTGACAGCCTTGACTCTGTTTTTTCTCACACCCAATATTCAGTCTGCAGCAAATCCTTACTGATTCTATCTCTGAAACATACCTAGAACCTCTTCATCAACTCTACCATTCCAAACTGCCATCCATTCCCACCCGTCATGAAGAGTCTGGTCCACAGAACTTCCTACCAGCTGTTTAAAAAAAAGAATGCAATCATTCTTCATGTACAGCTTTTTAGCTTGGGGTATACATTTTATATACACACATGTACAAACACACAATACATACACACACACACACATATAGGCTTTTAGGATTTTTTCATAAGGTGTAAACAACATATTAATAATTGAAATAGTTCGTTTTAAAATGCTCTATTTTGCAAGGATGTTTATATTTATGGCTGTCAGACAGCAAAGAAAGTTGTTTCAAATTAATAATTTTATTGAACCAATAACTCCCATCAATTTATATAGAAAAGACATTAGCTATGATTTAGTCATTACTTACTTATATTTGAAGTTTCAATACCTTCAAAAATTTAGTTATGATTTACTAGTAATGAGAAGTTGCCTAGCTATTAGTAAGAATTTAGTCTTCATCTCACAAGACAGTAACCAAACTACAGGAAAATTCAGACCACAGAAAGTAGAATAACCATTCAGATACAAATTACAGGATTGTAGGTACTTACACTGTGAACTCCTAAAGCTTTCCAGACTGCAAAACTGATCACACCAACCCCACACCATGCATAAAGTGAGCCCCAGCCCAGAGCTCGCACGGCAAGGGAAGACCCACTCTCCGGTAAGGCAGCTGTGGCCATACTTCCCTGAAACAAGACAGAAAGGTTTAGATAAAAGAGTAAGTATTCTGGGAGTGTTTGAAATTAATTATTCTTTGTGTAAGCAACATGATATGAGGAAGCCAGATCAACCTAAGGTCAAATACCAGTTTTGCTACTTAATAATAGCATGTCTTCTGTGAATGACATATATTTGAGTATGCAAGGTATTGTGCCTGTAAATTCTTCTAGAAAAAGCCTAGAACATTCTGTCAAGATTTTTCTATCCCCCATTCTTGCCATTTTCATTAGAATGCCATTAAACTAGACAGCAATCTGATAAGAGACTGACAATTTAAAACATCCTGTCTTCCATCTGGAAATACATTTCCATTTACTAGAGTCCTTTTCTTTTTTAGAATAATTTGCTCTATATTGCTCAATCTATTTCTTAATACAGGTTTTTCTTACGCATGTATGGTTTGTAATTGTGAATGTTTACACACATGGAAAGCTTTTGTTTATCTGAATCCCATGCCTGCACCATGACTAGGCCTAGCAAGCACTCAGTATTTGCTGACTTACACTTTTTGTAAATATACCTTAGACCCAACCAGATCATCAAGAGATTTTTTTTTGGTCATTTTCTATGATAAAAACAATATAGTCTCTTATCTTGTTCCTTCTCCCATGCTGCTATAATTTCAGAGTTGTTCCCTAGATACCACAGATCTTACATAAATGCACTGACTTTAATTGGCTTGATTTTTCATCCAGAAGCTGTAGCATTAACCAAATATTATTAAACCACGATCAAAGTGCTTTGGCCCAAATTATATTTTAGAAACATAGATTAAAAGTTCATTATTTCCCTGGGAAGAACACACACGTGTGTGTGTGTGTGTGTGTGTGTGTGTATTTAAAAGCTTACATAAACCCATATTTGTTTTACTAAATCAAGTAAAAAGGCAACTATGTATGAAAATAACCCTTAATGACACAGCAATATGCACAATAAAATCTTAAAACATTTAGATTTTTTAAAAGATACCTGCCATTTTTGTGTAATATCAGTCTCATAAATTGTGAGAGGACATGAGTTATTAGTTATTTTCTATATAAAAAAAGAAATTTTAGTGGAAACTTGATGTTAAAAATTGATCTGTCGCCGGGCTTGGTGGCTCAGCCTGTAATCCCACGCTTTGGGAGGCTGAGGTGAGTGGATTGCCTGAGCCCGCAGTTTGAGACCTCATCTCTACAATAAATCAAAAAAAATTAGCTGGGCGTGGTAGTGTGTGCCTGTAGTTCCAGCTACTTGGAAGGCTGAGGCAGAAGGATCGCCGGAGTCCAGCAGGTCGATGCTGCAGTGGCCGGAAGTGGCCACTGCACTCCAGTCTAGGCGACAGAGTGAGACTCCAACTCCAACTCCAAAAAAAAAAAAAATGATCTGTCTTTATTGGGTTTTAAAAAGTCTGGTCACAAATGTTTTCCTCTAGGGAAGAATGTCACATGACGTTCAAACACCCTGTTCAAAATTTTCAAAATGAACATTGATTGATATGCTGCAGGAAAAAATTAACTTGTCAGAAAACAGTGTTGCTTTAAAAGATCTTTATAGTCACACATACTAGACACATACACACACACACACACACACACACACACACACACACACACACACACACAACTACATACATATACTACATACTTACAAATAAAGTTCATAGTTTTAGTTTTTCTTCAATTTAATCCTGGGATGAATTTTATGTACTCAAACAGATTTTTAGAAAGAATGTTCAATCTAGTATTTCCCCTATAGAACATTCTTATCTGACACAATATTTTGATGTATCTGCACCACAGAAATAGCTGGCTGTGTTTTCATAATATATGCAAGATGTGTTTTTAAAAGACTTATTTTTATCATTTCCCAGAATTGTAGCTATATCAGAAAGATGAATGACGACTTACCCCTTTTATCTACTCATTCCATAAATGGGTCTTAAAATAACTCAGTTATTTTATGAATTTTTGTCACGCCACAATATTAAGAAAAGCAGGGGCTCCAAATTATTTCAGCTAAGTAAACTTTATATGCGTATAAACATTAACTTTGTATTTTCTTCAATTCTTTTAACCACATAGACATGTAATATGCACATTATTTTCTCTCATAGCAACTCATGTAGTCTCACAATTATTTCATGAGGTTGAATTGTTATACAAAAGCAAAATGTACTAGACCAAAAAAAAGTTGATCATTTTAAAACAGATCATGCAAAGAAGCTCAAGCGTGCCTGATTATTTCGACACTATAGGTTGCACTTTGCTCTTTCTGTTTATTCAAGGAATTACAAAGAAAAATTAGGCCAGGTGTGGTGGCTCAGGTCTATAACCCCAGTACTTTGGGAGGCTGAGGTGGAATGATTGCTTGAGCCCGAGAGTTCGAGACCAGCCTGGGCAATATAAAAATAAAAAATAATTAGCTGGGCATGGTGATGCACGCCCATAGTCCCAGCTACTTAGGAGGCTGAGGTGGAAGGATTGCTTGAACCCAGAAGGTTGGGGCCGTGGTGAGTCACAATCATGCTACTGTACTCCAGCTTGGGTAACAGAGTGAGACCCCAGCTCATACTAAAAACAAAAAAGAAAGAAAAAGAAAAATGAAAGCCCATTCAGTACTTACTATTGCTTTTCAACTTCCAGTTTTCCTGCATACGACTCAGCTGAGACAATGAAACTAAGACATTAAGAGGATGATTATTCTTCTAAAATAAATGCAGTGTAGGTAGTCACCAGCTGAAAAGTTGGTCATTTTAAAGGCCTTTTGGGCTGCAATTTGAATCTATATTATAATTAATATATAGATTACCAGGACAGTGGACAGAAGTCTATATAAATAACAATATTGCTAAAATAATATTTATTCCCCAGAATTAACCAAAAATGGAACTCTAAAACTGAGTTTAGATAAGTGATAATGCTCTAATTCATATGTCTTCCCAGAGGGAAGCAGAACCTTACATAACATATCTAATCCCCCAAAATAGTGCTTCTCAAACTTTCTGGCCTCAGGATCCTTTTACACTTGGACCCCAAAGATTTTCAATTATGTGGCTTATATTTATCAATACTTAATGTAGCAGAAATTAAAATTAAGAAATTCTTAAATTTTATTTATTACTTAAAAATAATAAATCATTATCAATTAATAATTGTTATTTTTATTTTTTAGGGTCTCACTCTGTCACCTAGGCTGCAGCACAGTGGTGTGATCATAGCTCACTTTAACCTCGAATTCCTGGGCTCAAGTGATCCTTCTGCTTTAGCCTCCCAAAGCTCTGAGATTACAGGTATGAGCTATCACATCTGGCCAATATAAATCTATTTTTAATGAAAAGTAAATGTTTTCTAAAACAAAACAAAAAAAGTACAAAGAGAAGCAATGTTTTGCATTTTTGTTAATCTTTTAAATGTCTAGCCTAATAAAAGATGGATTTTCATATCTGCTTCTATTTTCAATCTGTCGAAAAGAAAAAATTTTTTGGATTAAAATATATGAATAAAATCTGGCCTCACACAGATATATGGCCATATCTTTGGAAATAGGAAGAGTATTTTAATAGCTTTCCTTCTTTGATAATATGCCAAAACTTGACAAATAGTTTCTTAAAGACTAGTTGCAATACAGAATTTGAAGTAGTACCAACAAACTTTGTGATTTGTTACATTACAATCTATTCATCTATTTTGCACTTTGAATGGACTTTTTATCTCATGCATCATGCTCATTCAGAAGATACTTGCTTATCAGGTTATACAGATCTTTCAATTGTTGACATCATTTATTAAACAATATTTTAAAAATCACATAATTAATATCACTATAAAATCTCATCAGAAAAGTCCTTATGTACTGAGTAACTGTTAAGCTCACAATGGCAGATAAAAGTTTTCCAAGGCCAGGCATGGCTCAATCCTGTAATCCCAGCAATTTGGGAGGCTGAAGCGAGAGGAATGCCTGAGCCCACGGGTTCGAGACCAGTCTGGGCAACTTGGTGAGACCTTCTCTAAAAATATATCAAAAAATAAGCCAAGCATGGTAGCACACACTTGTAGTTCTGGCTACTTGGAAGGCTGAGGCGGAAGGATCGCCTGAGCCCAGCAGGTTGACGCTGGGGTGACCATGAGCGTGCCACTGAACTCCAGCTTGGACAAGAGAGTGAGACTCTGACTCAAAAAAAAAAAAAAAAAAAAAAGTTTTCCCAAATCGAAATCTCACTTGAAAGCTTGAATTTTATCAGTGGCAATAAAAACAATTTCTTGCTGGAAAAAGACAGATTCATTTCATTCATTTTTAAGAAAATGTCTTCCAAATATCCACTTCTGAATAACCACAGTTTATCAGTTGTTCTTTCAAGTAAAAATGATATTTCATGGGGAAAAAGTGGCTAGTTCAGTTGCAACTCAGTCATACAATTGCTTTTCCTATAGAAAAACATCTCACTTCAGTATAAAGCAAAAGTGCTTTATGTGTATTTCCCACTTCTTTACACAGAATATTAAAAAGTGGTATATTCAAGTGTCATGATTTGACAAGGACAGCTTCAACAAGGACATTCTTACATAATGCCGACTTTTTAAAAAAACTACAGGTGAGCTGTAAAGAAAAACACAATGACTTCTGGAACAGTTTGGTGCCACTGCCTTGATTATGTCAAGGTACCAGCAGTTTTACCTTCCATTAATTCTGTACCATCAGAGCAAGCATCCAGTATTATTATGAAAATTGTTCTGACTTTATAGACCCAAGGATCAAGGATCACCAGTTTGAAAACCACTGTTAGACCATGAAGGACATTTGTGATGATCAAATCTCAGAACAAAATAGAATGCAAAGTTGTGAATACGCATGCGCTTTTTTTCTGAGAGAGAATTCTTAGCTTTCATCAGATTCTTTAAAAATCCATGATCCAAGCGTAAATATAACTTAAGCTTAGAAATCAACCAAAATGCCACTGTTAAAGCACCCTTATCAGTAAGATTTTACTGCTTTCTGCCACAAGATATAGTTCTGCTCTGAAAATCCGCAGCAGTGATCTGAGCAGGTTCATAAAATGCTCAGAGTATTCAGAGGGGATCCAAATGCACTTTAAATATGGTCTGTTGCCATTATGGTATTAAGGCTGAGTAAGATTATTAAAGATAAATCTAAGTGAAAAGGGCTGCTTTATGATTTTTTTTACATATTTTTCCTCCACGGCACACATCAAATTGTAATTATAAAGCTATTTTTATAAATATTTAACATCTGTCTACCATATCAGATGCTGAGTTTCCTGAGGGACAGATGAGTTGTTCACTTTGTATCCCTTGCACCTAGCTAGCACAGTGCCTGACACACACATAGAAGAACCTAAGTGAACATTTGTTGAAGCAATGAAATAAAAAATAAATAAGCCAAATGGGGTGGGAGGTTAGAGATCAGACAAAATCTAAGAGCAAGTGACTACAAATAACATGAATAAAACTTCTCACCAACTGGGGGAAATGAGGTACATAATACCAGTGAGCACCTGCTCAATCTTGCTCATAGTGTTGGGATTTTCTGCCTTAAGGAGGTTATAGTCATTCAACCAAAACGTATTACAATGTTCCCGGCATTTTTTGGGGAGTGGGGCTATAGCACTGAATAAGTAAGTAAAGTTCTTGGGTTCAAGGAGCTGACATATGTTTTTCATCAATACTAATATGCACTTTATTTCAATATTTTAACACCTTTGAAACGAAATAGATGCTTCCTACAATCTGTACTGTGTCAAGAGTTTAATTGGTATTTTTTTCTTCCTAAATGGTAAATAAAATGTAGGGGTCTCTTTTAACTGATAGTGAATTGTCTAGATTTAGATTTAAAGTAACGTTATGGATAAGAAATGTACTGGATAAGCTTTCAAAGTCTTATTCTGCTAAAATGTAAGAAAGCACATCATTATTTTTTTTTCAAGGAAAACAATACTGACGATTAATTTGCATACTTCTTGAACTCATGGAGTATACATAAGCTTACTTTTTAAACAATGTGAAAGGTCATCAATATTTACTTTTCCTATACAAAAAGCTGCCATTTATTGTAAACAATGCTATGAATGGATGTCGACGTCACAAACCTTATTGAACCATTCGGGGCTTTTCTTTTTAGCCAATGATAATGTTGTAACAAATCCAGCTAGCATTCCTGCAGCAGCAACAGTACCAAGGAAAATTCCACCTGCCAAAGGTTTGATTGGGGGGTGGGAGGAATAAACAACACCTGAATTTAAAAAGATGTACACAAGTTTCAGATACTAATTAAGTTACAGTCAAAATCACTTTTGAAATTCAAGAATCTATCGCTAAGTAGCTCTTGCCAACGGTAAATGATTCAGCGGCTGTAAGAATGACCGGGGGTCATTCTGAGGTATCGTCCCCAAGTGCAGAGACTGGGGGCTGGTCCCTCCCCCCACCCCAGCACAGTGGCATGAAGTTTCTCCCCGGGGAGGAAAAGAGCGTGGTGATTAGAAAAGGCAGAGATCGAGAAAAATTGTACAGGTATGGGGAAATATGACACGTACGAGAGAATCGTTCCCGGGGCCCGTCCCTTGCGCAGGGGGAGACTCCACCCTGCAAGCAGCTAACCCGCCCTGGGCCGCCCGACACCGCGATCTAAACTCAGGGTCAAGCCCAAGCCAAGGGCTCTCAGGACCGGATGTGCGTAGGAAATCCCGCTCTAGTGCAGGCCAGGGCCCGGGCGAGTTCGCCCCGACACCCGCACCTCGCCACACCACACCTTTCACCAGGAAAAGCCGGTCGTCCGTGGATGCCGGAGCTTCCAGCCGAGACGACGGCTCCCGCGTCCCAGCGCCCGCTGCCTCCATGTTTAAGCCTCCGCTACTGCGTCCGGCGCCAAGTGGGCACGGGTGGAAGCGAAAGCAAGGCGGAGGAGAAAGGTTCCGCTGCCACCTCTTTTTGTGCATCCCGAAGATGGGCCGGGTACCGCCGCTGTCCTCAAACCTTCCTCTACCGCCCGGATGAGGAAGATGTGGTGGCTGTACAGTGATCCCGGTCTTGCGCCGGGGGGCGGTGTCCTCCAAGGCCATCGCCCAGGGAGGATGACTTGGCTTCTCCAAGGTAATCATCGCTGGACTTTAATGATGACTTTGTCTATCTGAAAGAACGCTCAGCTCCGACTCTAGGAGGCAGCGAGGGCTGGCAGATTGCGCTCAGTCTCAGCCTGGTTGAGACCCTGGAGCTCAGGTTCCTGATCAACCTTACGCTATGTCTAAAGATTTGGCCCTCGCTAACATTTTCGTAAAAGTTGTGACGGAAGGTGTAAGTGACACGCCTTATCCCTGGAAGACAGACAGCCTCCCGGCTCTGCGGGGATGGGCCTCCCGCCCCGTGGCTGGATTGGTCGGCACCGGGAGCGGATGGCTAACAACATGACTAAGGGAATGGTACAACCCTAGCGGGAGCAGAGGCCCACTCCAAGGGCTTACAGAGCTGCTGGGAACGCTGACGGTAGCAGGCCTGGTCTTCAGTCTGGAAAGCTGATTTGCCCATGGGTGATGGACTCTGTAAATGGCCATTTAGAGGAGTTGGCTAGCGGTCATAGAACATCTTTTCAGCCTCTCACATAGAGACATATGGCACAATTTTTAAAATGAAGCAGTCTGCCATTTGTTTCTGGTATTTTTCCTGGTCACACTCCAGGGCATGAGCTGGAGGATGATGAGACTCTATATTCATATTGATATTCCCCAGCTTTCAAGTATGACCTGGGCATGCATGATAACTGCACGATGGATGAGTAAATGAATGCATCAGTTAAGTGCAGTTAATAACTCAAACCTGGGTTCAGGGCCTAAGCTGCTTCTCAGCTGTGTGGATTAGGGGTTATTTAGCCCCTCTATATCTCAGTTTCTTCATCCGTAAAATAAAGAAAATGACAGTACCTACTTCATAGGATTGCTGTGAGAATGACACGAAGCAATGTATATAAAGAAGTGAGCATAGTGCCTGGCACATGTGAATATCCAATAACTGTTAGCTCAGTTATTACCACCTTTGATTCCAGTAACTGCTTTGCAGTATTGCCTATGCAGGTTTTAAAAATTATAGATGCCTAGGGTCTTCCACTGTCGATTAGGGCTCTGAAGGGGCAGGGCAGGGCAGAATGTAAAATCTCCACAGGGAGTTCTGATGATCAAAGAACTACTGCTCTGTTCACATTTCTGTGGGGACGAAATCACACAGAATGTGTGTGACCCTTGGATCCTTTGGAAGCACGGTGTCAGTATCTGAAAGGGCCCACCAAGTTGGCAAATGCTGTGCTAACTTGTTGAAGGGCTTAAGGACTTATCCTTTTTACTTCCCCTCAGAACAGTGGCCATGGCTGCTAACATTTCTTGAGTGCTTTCTGTATGTCTGGCATTACACTAAGTGCTTCAATATATTATCTCACTTAATCCTCTGTGTAAACTCAGACTAACTTACTCAAGCTTACACAGCTGTTAAGAGGCAGTGCCAGGTTTTAAAAGCAGGTCCTTCCTTATCCACTGTGCTAATGGTCCTCAAGTGTGAGTTTGATAATTGGAATCACCTGGAAGCTTATTGACCACAGATTTCTGCACTCCATCCCCAGTCTGTGAGCCAGTAAGGCCTGAGAACCTGTATGTCGTAAGTTCCTAGGTGATGCTGATGTCCTGGTCCCACCTGGAAAACATCTTCTCTGTGCCTTACTCTGATAGAGTCCACCTCTATCATCCACTTCAGCACTTTTCCCAAGACTGCTTAGGGAGAAAACGTGCAGACTTCTCTACTCTCTCTTTCTTTGCTATCCCCTCCCCACCAAAAAAAGCACAGAAACTTTTTTATTTTAAGGATTATAGGGCTGGACACAGTGTCACATATCTGCAAACCCAGTGCTTTGGGAGGCCAAGGTGGAAGAATCACTTGAGGCCAGGAGTTCAAGATCAGCCTGAGCAACATAGCAAGACCCCCGTCTCTACAATAATAATAATAATAATAATAATAATAATAATAATTAGTAGAGTGTGGTGGCATGTAGTCCCAACTACTTGGAAGGCTAAGCCCAAGAGTTCAAGGCTACAGTGAGCTATGATTGCACCACTGCACTTCAGCCTGTGTGACAGAGCAAGACTTTGTCTCTAAAATAAAATAAAATAAAATTCAAATGAAACAAAAATACAGAATGATATCACTATTTACTATAAGAAACAGAAAGGAGATAACAAATCTTTGAATCTAGGGAGGTTGCAGAGTCCTGTCCTCCAGCACCGGTCTCCATTTTGTATAACATATATACCCCATGTGACTCCTGTCTGCTCTGATTCTGGGTGACTCAGCTCACAAGCCTCTTCCTTCTTTCTAACTCCCCAAGTACCAGACAATCTTCCTTTTTCTACTTGGAATCTCATTTTCCCAATATGCAGAGGGCTGAAAAGGCAATTAAAACAACCAGTGTTTACTCTTTTTTAGCATTAGGTGAACAATTTGCGTTTTGAACATCCTTGTGGGATAGAGGCCAAGGAGAGGAGGGACTGAGGGCTCCTCGGTCAAGGCCTGCTTCTAGGAGTATCGCAACTCCACTCCTCACTAGCCCCAGGCACCTGCCCTCCCGCTTGCCCTGTGCCAGGTCCTGGGAGGTGGTGTTTCCAGAACCTCAGGCGCCAGTGCAGCACAGGAACAGGGAGTCCCTGACCCCGAGATTAGGGCCACATTCCAGGCGTTCCAAGTGGAAACGCTGAGAGAAAACATTTTTAAAGACAATGTTACCCAGGGGTCTCATGTTTCTACAGTGCACACAATTAGGTATTTTAGGTGCAATTTTATTTTATTTTTTAAATTTAGAGATGAGGTCTCACTATGTTGCCCAGGCTGGTCTCAAACTGCTGGGCTCAAGAGATTCTCCCTCCTTGGCCTCCAAAAGTGTAGGGATTACAGGTGTGAACCACTGCGCCCGACTTGCAATTTGATTAGCAGGCCTGCTCTGGGAAGGCCACAATCCCACCTAGACTTGTTTTTATAGGAAGGCATGATAAAAGCTCTAAACAAATGAGTTGCAAACTCAGCAGTTTCTTTGCAAGACAGGGACGTCAGTTCTGCAACAGCAAGACGGGGAATTTCCAAGTGTGGAAACCAGAGATTAGAAAGTTGCAGAGCTTCAGTGCTTCACAAATGCCAGCAGGACTGTCGTTTCAATGGAAGCATGATACTATTTTAGAAAAATGTCATAGATATCTTCTGCAAGCAAAGGTGCCTCCTGGAAAAGCAAGTTTATCTGAGACAGACGCTATTGCTATTTTGGTGTTTGTTTTAGTTAGCTGAAAGTTCATAGCAGAGACGCATTTGACCACATCCTTATTCAAACTTTTCAGCTCCTGTAGATTCTTTTTACAATTTTGACAGCTAGAAACCTGTCAGTATCATGGTTTCCAGAATTTGGATACCCCCAGCTCTGGCTAGTTTCAAAATACTGGTAAACTTTTTCCCCCCATCTATTTTAAAAACATTTCTTCAGAGCTTCAATTTCTCTGTGTTTCAGGTATAAGACTGAATTATTTTTAAAATCTGATAAGGATCACATGCTGGCCAAATCGTTCTCACTGCTACTTGATGTAAAAAAGTTGTCAAAAATCTAGTGTGGAGATCTTTAAAAGTTACTGCCTAATTAAATGTGTGCATAGAAGAAAAACCTGCTGGGCTTTACACTGGACTATTAGCAAAGGTTACCTTGAAGGAAGGGGAGAGGTGAATTTTCTATTTATATTTCTTCTACTTTCTACCTTAATAAACCAAATACTGACCAAAGCAACACTTTTACATATTCTTATAATGTTTGGAAATGCTTAAACCAGGGATATATATTACTTTTGTGAGAAGGGAAAAGAAGGAAGGAAAACAATAAAATACTCTGAAAATGTATCACCTTATTTAAAAGATAGATTTTTTTTTTTCCTATTTCACTAGAAATATTATGTAGATTTCCAGCGTAACTCGTCAAACTCTCCAGCAGGAGACCCAGTGACAACATTCTTGGAAAACGAAGAGACAGCAAGAAGCATTGTGTCATGAGGAGACAGTTTGGGCTGGCCCCAGCATTCACATGGTATTGCTTCCCCCAGTTTGCTGCTGTCAGGCCCCTTGAATTCTTCCCAATACGCTCTCTAGAATCACAGAGCTGCAGAGATTTGAAATGGCATTGCTATAATCAGTACCATGCAGTATCCATGGTAAGTATAGTAATAATTCTTCTCCAGTGAACTGAAACTAGACTTCCAAAGCTGAAGTTTCATTACTCACTTCCGGTAGCTCATTACTTATCTTTTAGAATCATATTCTAGCACTGCCCGAGGCTGAATCGTATGTCTGTCCTTATCACAGTGGATTAAAGTTGCCATTATAGATTCCTCCTTTCCATTTTTCTTTATTGAAGAGTGTATCTTCCCTATCTCTTTCTATGCTATCGGTTGAATTGTTACAGTTAATGAGACCAGATATCTTTTTGAAAGCTATAGTATTCCTAAGCCACTAGATATTTTCTTATAAAAGAGGAATGCATCTCATTTCCTTTATGTTTCTCTATCTTCTTGCTAGGCTCCAATAGGATCACAAATGTTCGAGCATTTTGTACACTGTTGAGTATTCTGGCAATGTAAAGCATTATTATTTTTAGTCCTATGTGTGTCCCAGTTATAGAAAAACCCCTTAACATTCCCCAAAGTGGAATATATTTCCATCTATACATTATCATTTTGCTAGTATTTCATACACAGGAACATATGTTACACTCACATTTACTATTAAAATCTGTGGTATCAACCACTTATGTCATTAAGTGTGTGTTATGTTAATTGTGTTTATTTTGTTAATATCCTCCTATTGTGTTGTATTAAAGATTATAAACTATAACATTTTAAGAAACAGGTTCCATCACATGCATGACAAAAAAGTGATTCCATAAAATAGTAAAACCTTTCTCAACCAAATACTGTTTCATTTTATTTTATTTTTCATTCACACAGCAAGTATTTACTGTGCACCTATGAGGTCTTAGGTGTTGATTTACTCTAGTGAAGTCAACAGGTACAGTCCTTAGCTCACTGGATCTTACAGTTTCTTAATTTTCTTTTTAAAATTTTTTTTCTATTTTTAAACCGGGCTTGGTGGCTCAGCCTGTAATCCTGCGCCTTTGGGAGGCTGAGGTGAGTAGATTGCCTGAACCTGCAGGTTCGAGACCCGCCTGGGCAGCGAGACCTCATCTCTACAATAAATCAAAAAAATCAGCCGGGCGTGGTAGCGCATGCCTGTAATTCCGGCTACTTGGAAGGCTGAGGCGGAAGGATCGCCGGAGCCCAGCAGGTCGAGGCTGCGGTGGCCAGGAGTGGCCATTGCACTCCAGTCTGGGCGACAGAGTGAGACTCCAACTCAAAATAAATAAATAAATAAATTTTTTCTATTTTTAATGTTTTTTTATTTTAAAGATGTGGGGTACAATTCAAAATTAGACATACAAGTGATCATTGTACAGATAAAGTTTGAGCCTACCTTTGGTCCCCACTTCAGACCCTTAATTTTCTAAGTGGGAATTTCATCAAAACATCTCTCTGTTTCTCTTTTACTTTTTGCCTTAATAAGTAAAATATGATTTACTTCTTGATTACAAATCTGCAGTGCTTCAAGTCACCCTTCTGTATAGCAACAATTATTGCACATATGGGTATAGAAGGCCTAGGGGATTGGTTAGCATGTATCCTGAACCTGGATTGTCCATCTCAAAGTTCAGAGGGAGTGTGTGGGGAAGGAGTTAGCTTCTAGAAGTTGGCTTAGAAATGGAGGCCCAGGCAAGGAACTCAGAAGCAAGTAGACCTGTCCTGGAGGGACAAAGCACATGCTAGGGGTCATGACAAGAGAGGTTTTCAGACCAGGTGGCCTGGCTGTGAGAGGAGACAGAAGGATTTCTAAGTTGGTATCAGGGTATCATGAAATTCAGGCAAGAGGATGGGGGTGGTTAAAACTTCAGACAGGAAGGCTGGTGTCACCAAGAGATTTGTCCATGGGTAGCAGGGTCTGGGACCCTGGGCAGAACTGAAGACCAAAAGATGGTAACTGGTCACTGTCAAACACAAACCTAGTTAAAATAGCAAAGGAGCTAAAAAGAGACTGATTATCAGACCTGGATCATTGTGATAGAATCATACATACTCTGATGTAGAGTCAGCAAGACATACTGGGAGGCCCAGACCCATAAATAGATGCTGATTTGGGTCAGGATGAAGGCTGGAACTGCAGGTAGGATTTGGTTTGGCCTCACATGGGAGAACTGGAGGACAGGAAACAGACGGGGTCCTTGCCTTTAGCTGTGCAACTTACTCATTTGCATGACGGCTTCCAACTTGAGTGGTGGGAGGACAGATAGGGGTTGGAATCCAGCCTGCATTCTGTTCACCAAGCCTTGTGCTGTGGTGCTGGGGTGCAATGACCCCAAGGAAGGTGCACCTTTCCGGGTTCACAAAAAGGCCTCACATGGGCCAATGTTGGCTTTGGAAATGTGATATTTGGAAATTTGGTATTCAGAGGCTAGAAACCAATGAATAATATCCCAACTGTGGGGAGTGTATCTCATGCCTCAAGTATATTAAGTTGGAAAGAAATCTTAAGCTTCACAAGTACCCAAGGCTGGAGTCTGAGTAACAATGGTATGGTTACAGAAGTACTAGTATGTGTATGGCTTCAAAGTGCCTTTGAGATTCAGAGAACAAGCCAGAAAAACATTGCTCTGAAGAGTGTAAGCATGCTCAAACTACTGAATTTACAATATTTGAATATATATATAAAGCCTTTGGACACATTTTTATAATTTGGGCTTCATCAACTATTCCTCCCTGCATTGCAAGAGAAATATCTACATTTTAGTAACATTTTATTGAGATTTGACCCTTTTGATTTACTCTTGCTTGTAAAAGTAATAACCTCATAGAATGTGATTATACAGTCTGATAAAATATTTCACGATATCGTAAATTATATGTCACTTAGATGGTCATGTTTTATTTAGGTCAACTGTACAGAGTCCGATGCCCTTTTTAAAACATTCAAAGAAGTTGATGGATTCATTGCTAAGTGCACTATAAATAAATGCAACCTCAAATTCCAGACAATGAAAATGTGCTAGGAGAGACATTAAAGCTACCGTCAACAATGACTCTTTCAAGGGGGTAGAAAGGGCCTGGACTAGTTGGTTGTCTGGGAGCCAGGGGCTAGTTTCCAGTCCTGCCAGTAATGGGGCCAAGGTTGTCTCCATGTTTCTTAATATGGACTTCATTTTCTTCCTTGGCAAAATGAAGGAAGGATTACAAGGATCAGTACTTTGCCCAAGTAGGTTTCATGGCACACAGTTCCAGAAGCTATTGGGTATTACTTGGGGAAAGAAAAACCAGATTTTGTGACCAAATAAGTCTGGTAGACAAAACCAGAATTCTTTGTTTCTAGGCCTCTCTGAGTCTTCAAGAGGAAGGAACTGGAAGCAGTGATTCTATCACTTATTTGACCATAGAACCCTTTGTTTAGGGACATCTCATGGGCTCATGTGCCTTAGAAAATAGTTTGAGAAAATACTGAATTAGTTGGTCACTAGCATTCTTTCTAGTCCTCAAACTCTCTGATTCTAGTTAAGTTTGGATAAATGAGGTGATTTCCTTTAAGGACAAAGAGCAATGTTTCTCCTTTCTCTTGCAACTCGTGGTCAGATCTAAAATGTAGTGACGTCTCCACTCTACAGCTTGTCTAAACCAGAAAGGTGGTCAAAATAACAAAGACCATATTTCATGAAGGGTCGACACTTTCCTTCTACTTAAACCAAAAATAATATATCACTTTCCCATGTCAAATTCAGAGCTATTCTTCACATTCTTAGAAGAAAGAGAGTTATTTGCTGGCAGGGGAAAAAGCCAAAATGGTCATGAATAATCTACTTCATTCCAATCAATTAGGAAGAAAAATGCAGTCCCCAAAGCACATTTCGCATTGGTAGAGTTGAGAAACCAAAATAGACTGATGTACAGAAGAATTAGATTTACTATTTCAAGCCTGCTATGTACTTATCCTTATTTGGTTGTCTTTCGCAGAGTTGCATGACTATGGAAATGGGAGTGACCTTGGGTCATGCAGCTGATCATCTTGTATCCAAGAAGGATTCATCTCAAGTTCTCATTACAGATTCAGCACCAGGTCTATTGTGACTCCTGATTTGAGAGCATGTTCTGCCTTAAACATGATTTCTCTGACAGTAACCAAGTACCCAGGGTGCTGTGTTATTGGAGCAGTATGTCCTGGAGAAATTCATTGACATGTTGGATGCCAATCACATCCTCAGCTTGGGAGAAGAATGGCCAGGCACAATTCCACTTGTAGCAGTTACTGTGTTTCATGACACATGACCCACTTACCCTGGCCAGAGCAAGTTGGACCAGAGTCACCACCAGAGTCACCAGTGTGACAATTTAGAACTACCAAGACATTCATCAATAAGCCAGCAGTTTCACCCAATAGGAACTGCATTTATCACCTGATCCACTTAACCTGCAACACATGCTGTCCTGAGTATGTCCCCTCTCCTGAATCTCTTCCCTCCCCTATTCTCCCACAGCTGTCCTTCAAGGTCTACCACTTAGGCCTGCTCTCTTGGGCTGCCACTCAGCCACTAGAGCAATATTTCATGGGAATGTCACCAGTCCTTATGGCATCTTTGCTAGAATTAGAAACCCCCTCCCCAAGCAAAATTATTTTACATTAGTAGAACATTGCATACCTGTACATGTGGTGGGCCTGTGGCAGTACACACTGCTCCAAGAACCACATACACCACGTACTGTCCCCCTCAAACACGCTAGAAGCAAAGGCCCACAGGCGCCATTAGCTGAGTGGCTGGCTATGCTTCCTAATTTTACTTAGGACTAGTTCTGATGCCCCAGCCTTGCCCCAGTTCGTTGTGTATTCAACTCCAGAAGTTGCATCTTATTCTAGGTCCTTTTTTCCTGCTTTCCCTGCTCCACTGAGGCAGCTGCACCCATAACCGACCACATTGCAGAGGGACATACAGAACACAGGGCAATACTGTACACTTCTTCCAGTAGACCTTTGACAAGGTCCCTCCTTTTATAATATTATCAATAAAATTGGTTGCATTTGACACTTGTCAAGCACCAGTTTCAAGTGGTGCTTCAAGAGTGATCTATGTGTCACCTGGAAGGGGTCCTGAGGCTAAGCCACAGGACACTCCTCGGCCCTGGCTATGTCAACATATTTACAGGCAACTTGAACCTACGCCTAGAAGCCATGCCTATAAAAATTTGTCAAGCCAGGCTCGGTGGCTCAGCCTGTAATCCTGCGCCTTTGGGAGGCTGAGGTGAGTGAATTGCCTGAGCCCGCGGGTTCGAGACCCACCTGGGCAGCGAGACCTCATCTCTATAATAAATAAAAAAAAAAATCAGCCGGGAGTGGTAGTGCATGCCTGTAATTCCAGCTACTTGGAAGGCTGAGGTGGAAGGATCACCAGAGCCCAGCAGGTCGAGGCTGCGGTGGCCGGGAGCGGCCACTGCACTCCAGTCTGGGTGACAGAGTAAGACTCCAACTCAAAAAAAAAAAAAAAAAAAATTTGTCAAAGACATAGAACAGGAAGGTTTAGTTACTGAATGAATAAAATGAATAAGAGAAATGTCTCACAATTACTTAGGTAGACAAGAACAAAAAGAATGAACTTTAACTGGGAAAAATCACATTTTCAGACAATATTCAAATGAAAAATGAGAGTGATTTGGCCTACTTTCTTTGTTACAGGATGTGACAATTTGGGGCAATTTAGTTGGTGACAATGCTGAAACAGCAGGGGCAAGTATGCACCTGTCCAAGAGTGGTCTCTCCTGCTCAGGCTTGCCTCTTCCAGTATCACCTTGGAAGAAGCATCCTCAGAGATCAGGACCAACCGGCATAGAAGAGAGTGAAAGGAAGTGGGGAAGTCTCAGCCATGCCATCTGAAAAGAAATTGTTGAGGGAAGGAAACACATTTCATTTGGAAGAGAAAAGAATCGGGACTTGTGCTAGAGAAGGGGGTAGAATCCCCAGGAGGCGGAGGGAGCAGTTAGATGGAATAGATTTTTGCCTCTATCAGTCAGAACCATCTAAAAATGTGAAATGTTCCCCAAATGGATTGAGGTACTTCGAGTTATCACGTCTCCCATCACAAGGACTTTCTGAGCAAAAGTTGGGTTAATACGTGCAAGGCGACATAGGAGAAATTTCTCCAGAGTGGCAATTTAGAACTTCCAAGATGGTTCATGTCACACAACATGGGCCAGCTCAGCTCTGCTGTCTATGAAGCTTGGTTTTGTCAGCAATGCAAGAGCAGATTTATCTTTCAGGGAGAAAATATACTGAGCAGGCCCATGAGTCTGAACGCCAGCTTAATATACTACAATGAAGATAAGTAAGATGATTTTCATCAGAAGCCTGATAGCAGTCAGAAAGTTACATGGGACATCCCTCTTGGAGGTTCTGGCAGATTAAGTAGACAAATAATAAATAAAGAAAACTTAGAAGATTGAGATTCCAGTAAAGTGACCAGCTGTAAGATAAACATACATTTGTAAGCTTTCCTATATATTAGCTATAACCCATTAAAATATAATTAATAAATATCTCCAAAAATCCCACTATATGATGAGCACAAAACTTTACTAACACGTGCAAGAAGAATTGTATCTTTTTTTGAGCTGAAGTCTCACTCTGTTACCCAGGCTGGTGTGCAGGGCATGCTCACGGCTACTGAAACTTCAACCTGCTGGGCTCAGGCAATCCTTCTGCCTCAGCCTTTCAAGTGTCTGAAACTACAGGCGTGCACCACCACACCCGACCAGCTATTTTTATTTTTATTTGTTGTAGAGATGAGGTCTTGCCAGGTTGCCCAGGCTGGCCTGGAACTCCTGGGCTCAGGTAATCCTCTCACCTCCACCTCCCAAAGTGCTGGGATTACAGACATGAGCCACCAAACCTGGTTAGAAGTCTTAACTATACAAGGCATTGTCAATCCTTTTCATTTACTCTATCAATTTAATGCAATTCTTGTAGAAATCTGAGTAAGATCATGTTTAAACCTTGACAGAATTTCAAAATACATCTGAATAATAAAAATTCAAGAAAGGTGCAGAAATTTTTGAGAAAGCAGTGTCACAAGGGAGACTTGCCCTCAATATTAATAAGCATGATCAGTTACATTACTGTAATTGATTAATCAATTAATTAGCTCTGACACAGGAATAGAAAGGCAGAGCCACAGAACAGAATGGCAGCCACCAAAATGCACTTATGTGTGCCTACTAGCTTAGTGAACAGTTAGAGTATTTCAAATCTATGGAGAAAGTTCAGGAATGACTTTGGGACACTGGCCAATCATGTGGGGGGAAACGGTTGATTATTTCATGTTATAATAAAACCATAAAAGTAATGGAAGAAAATGTAGATGAGTGTCTACTGAAATATGCCCTTGAGTTGGGAAAGAACTTTCTAAGCATGAAACCAGATAAATAAATATAGATCAATATGACTACATAAAATGTTTAAAATGTTCTATGGCAGAGTAAGTTTATTCACTCAATCCTATGTCTCCTTCACCCTTCTCTGCCCCTCCCTAAGTGTTGGGAGTAGCCATGTGACGAGTTCTGGCCAATGAGACATAAGTAGGAGTGTTAGTCCTGTTTCTTCTGCCTTCCTTCTTCCTAATGTGTGAAACATAGACCTGATGGCTAGTGCTGCAGCAACCATTTAGTGGCTATAAGATAACAATCAGGAGACGACTAAGAGAGGACAGAGATGTAAGCCTTACATTGTCAACTGTCTGAATCAGTTCCAGCAGCTGTCTATAAAATGTTTGTTACATGAGACAGCAAGTCCACTTTAAGACAGAGGAGTTCGGTTTTCTATTACTTAAAGTTAAAATCGTTCTTATCTGATCCTGAGCTTAAGGCAAAACACCATATTGCAGCAAAAGGCAAACAAAAAAAAATTTGCAATGCATATCACAAAAGTTAATATTCCTATTAATATAGGGATCTCTATAAATAAAGGGATTGATAATTTTTAAGAAAGGGCAAATAAAATGAGTAAAAAGATAAAAATAAGAAATTCAAATGTCTAAAAAATTCATTAAAAAAAATTCAGCTTCACTGCAAATTAAAACCATAGCCTAATGATCTATCACTTATAAAACTGGCAAACATTGAAACAATTACAATATTATTTTCTGAAAAGCAGTCTGGCAAAATGTATGAAAAGTTCTGGAATGTCCATGACCTTTGGGAATCTGTGCAGAGAAATAGTTAATGAGTTGCAAAGATTTGCTACAGGGTTGTCTCCAACAGTGCTGTTGGTAATTACAAAATTATGGAAATGGCAGAAATATGCAATAATAGAGTTTTGGTTAAATGAATTATAGAATTGCCCCACATACAAAAATATTATTAACTTGCTGTAGTAGAGGTATATTTGTTGACACACACAGATGTTCATTATTTATTAAGTGAACAACAAGTCAAAAAACACCTCAGTAAGAACACATTTCTGTTTTTGTTATTATGCATGTTTATGTGTATGAAAGTGGCATGGGAAAAATATCTCAAATCATTAATGTTATCCCTGGGTTTGGTCCATATTTTCTGATTATTTCTGTTATAAACATGTATTGCTTTTGACATAAGAAAATTATTGCTATGAAAATATTTGTTGGTAAACACACAGGAGAATTGATTAGTTAATGGCATCAGGAGATAGGCTGAGATGTTTATCTTACCATGAGATCTACACATACCAAATGGTTCAAGCTGGTTCCCCTGCAAGGAAATTCATGACACTGTTGGTGTTCGCTTCAGGGGTCAATATCTGTGGCCTTTTCTGAAGGACACATTTTGCCCCAGTTAGTTTTATATACTCAGTCCAGCTTGAGTTAAGTCCTACAGCTCTAAGGGTACCTCTGCTTTCAAGGTGACTTTGTATTTTCTGTTATTATCCAATGCAAGTGACTTAATATGTAACTCTCAGGGAGTAATTTTATTTCCCTTATTTCCAAGGGTTTTTTTTGTTTTTGTTTTTGCAGGCGAGGGAAGGATGCAAATATGCCTCATGATAGTCCCTAAATGTTGGCTAAGGGGCAAATGTTGGATTCTCATAGACAAATACTTAGCACTTTGCCTTAAGAGTAGTGAGAATTTGCAGAAGCTTGTCAGTTTAATGAGGTCCCACTTGTCTAT